AAGGTGGTCCCGTGAGAGCTCGCTCACAGATGGGTTAACCTGGACAGTCGTCTGTGTTAATTTGTTTGTGGCAAGCTGGGGACAAAGCCTTAAGGCCTTATTCCAGACTAATCTTGATGCTTGCTGGCTCTGGAATCTGCGGGTGTAACTCCTGGTTTATGGAGATGACAGCCACAGTTTAGATGAGAAGAGTGAGGGTCCTGGTAGTCAGATTCCCCTGCCACACACACTTTTAATACGTAAGCAAAGGAGACCAGCTCGGTGGCCTGGCTGCGGTCTTACCTGTGACCTCGGCTCCAGGGTCTCTTTAGGTTCCCTAGGGACTGGCTCCTCTCACGCCCCTTTGTGGCGCTGTGAGATTCTGCAGCTCCCGGCTCAGGTCCTCTCCCTCCCCACACCCACCACTCCTTCTTTCTCAGTTCTGCCCCGTGCTTCATGCAAGAGCATTTTTCAATTAAATTCCTAATGCGGTGACTTCAGAGAAATGCTTGTGGAACTGATCCAAGCCACGTTTGGGTATCACACAGTTTCTCTTGTTTAATTCGAAAGGGACTCAAGAAACTGTTGCATTTTCTTATCTGGCTCCTTAGAGTGATGTGAAACTGTAAATGCCAGTTAAAGCAGGACACAGACACACACACAGAGACACACAGACATACATACAGGCAGAGACAGACAGACGGACAGACAGACACACATACATACAGACAGACAGACAGACAGACACACACACACACACATACACACACACACACTGAATAACATTTACAGTTGTATGACCACATCTTCTCACTCACCGATCGTCTCAGTACCCACCCTTCCCATGACTATCGGGGAAGGTCTCTGAGAAGCCTGACTGGCTGTTCCTTCCAGAGTGCTTTGGGAGCACATAAGCAGAGTGACTAACACGAAGGTTTCCAGCCTTCCCATGCTCACTTCCTGCCCCCGTGACCTCTTGGAAAGAGGTCCCAGAGTTGAGGCTGAAGGACAGCACCTGAGCACATCTCCAGGCAAGACCATTTTAAACAATGTTACCTGGTTACGATGGTACAGTTGCATTATGGGTGCTGGGGAAAGGTCTCAGAGGGCAAGTGCTTGCTGTTCAATTGAGAGGACCTGAGTTTACATCCTCACTGGAAGTCAGGCATGGTGGCACGCACCTGTGACCCCAGCACTGGGGGTAGGGCAGAGACAGGCAGAGCCTGGGCCTTAGTGGCCAGCAGGGATAGCCAAAATAGTGAGTTCCCAGTTCATTGAGAGACCCTGTCTCAAGAAAAAAAAAGGTAAAGAGTAACACAGGAAGAAACCCACAGTTGACCTCTGGCCTCTATATCCATAGGCATACACACACCACCACTACCACCACCACCACCACCACCACAGCCACCAACGAAACTCTGGGCATATGGTGCCATTCTCTAGCTCGGAGATCAGGGCCAGCACTTTCTTTCTACTTTAAAATTTGATTTCATCTATACGAGCTTTGACTACATTTATGTACCTTCTCCGTGTGTGTCTGATGTCTGAGTCAGAGCCCCTGGAATTGAAGTCACAGATGGCTGTGAGGTGCCATGTGGTTCCAGAGTCTGAACCCGGGTCCTCGGCAAGGCAAAGGGTGGACTGTGAGCTACCACCGCTCCAGCCCTGGGTCCCAGACTCCATCTGTAGAACTGTGGTAAGAAGGCAAGTAAGTTGGTGTTTGACTAGCCTGGTCTTCTGTCTCTGTGATCCAGAGAGTTCTAAAGTCCACCACAGCAGGAGAGACCTCTCAGCAGGAAGCCACTGGGGAGGGCAGCCCAGACCTTGAGGCTTCAGGTGATAAGGTGGCCTAACAAACCAGGGACCAACGCACAGATGTGTTCTTCGTTAACAGGCACTTTGAACACTTTGCCTTCAGTTTTCATGAAAGTCCACAGTTCTTACGGAGCCCTCAGTGGTTCCGTAGGGTTTGGAATTCACACTCTGCATGGTACAGGGACAGGGTAGCAGCACTCATCAGGCAGATTGGGAATTCTTAGCCAGATGTACGCAGTCACAGCATCAAACGGGCTGTAAATGCCTCATCAGCTCAGCCGCTCTTGACACCACATGTGGCCAAATGAGTCAGGAGAGCTTGTGGTTTCCAGACAGTTTCTGGTTTCGAAATTATTTGTGTCTAAGCACTAGAAGTTTATTTTCTTGACTTTAAGGCACATCTTATAAGTGACTCAGGAACAACAAAGCTGGCTGATGTGAAACAACCCTAGGCCATCTTTGAGAAGAACTTGCTGACATGTCTGAGTGTGGCTCAAAGGCCGTCTTGTAGGCCTGGCCGTGGGACTCCCTTTTTAATCTCTGCATGTGCCTCTCACTGTGCAAGGGAGGCAGAGCAGTAAGATACAGAGGGGGTGCAAGGCCCTGGCCAGGGAGGCAGCGCTGGGCACACCGCAGCCCAGCCGGGGGAGGTCAGACTTCAGGTCCAGGGATTTGTCCACAGTGCCACGCTGCATGGTGTCCACCGTGGATTCAGGCATGTTACAATAAGCAAAGCAGGGAGAAAAGACACTGTGGGATTTTGTTCCTGTCTTAGGACCATATCAGGAATAAGGTGAATGGGGGTTCATATGCTGTAGATGCTTTTGGAGTGGCCTCCAGCACTCTTCATCTGGACAGCCTCTCTCCTCTACTAATTACCAAGCCTTGAGTGCAGGATGCCATTATGTGCTGCCCCTTGCCCCCTACCCGTGTCCGGTTGTGACCCACTGTTCCTTCCGTTCCAGTGCCAGGACTACCGCGGGGGCTGGCTCACGGGCGCGCTGTGTGAGGACCTGTGCGTGGCTGGGGAGCTGCTGTACCAGCGCTGCCTGTATTATGAGCGTGGCAAGAAGGTCCTGCAGGCGCAGTGGAGAGGCCGGACTGTGGTCCTCAAATCCAAGAGGGAGGCTTTCTCCAGCTTCCCGCCCCTCCATCTGCTGGAGGAGGAAGCGGGGCCAGGTGCCCCGAGCATCCCCGAGGCCGAGCTGCTCCTGTTGGTGGCTGGCGAAGTCAAGAACGCACTGGGCTTGGAGCTGACCAACAATAGCATAGTTCCCCTGTGGCCTGCCCGGCAGGGCCCTGGCTGGCGGCAACAGCTGGCCAGTGCGTGGTCACTGCTCCAGCAAGAGGAATACGTGTACTTCAGCCTGCTGCCAGATCTGAGCCGCCACATCCTCCCCGTGCTGGGGTCCTGCGGCCACTTTTACGCCGTGGAGTACTTGGCTGCCGGCAGCCCTCACCACAGGGCTCTCTTCCCACTGGGTGATGCTGGCCAGGCGCAGGCGATTAGCCACATTGCTCTCAGCTTCCTGGACATGGTGAGCCATTTCGACAGTGACTTCTCCCACCGCCTCCACCTCTGTGACGTCAAGCCTGAGAACTTTGCCATCAAGAGGGACTTCACGGTAAGTGGAAGCAGGCTGCCATGTTTGCGGGGGAGAGAAGAGACTCTGGTCTGTCCGTGTGGGAGGGAATGAGGCGTCAGCTTCCAGAAGGAGGCCAGTGTAACTTCGGGCAGCCTTGTGGCTCCTGGTCACTCCCGTTCCAGACCACTTCCTCGCCAGGCAGACAAGAGGATTTAAATAGCCCCAATCATCAGTGAAGGAGCCCACAGGAGGCAGAGGCCAGGCAGGAAGCAGAGGAAGTGCCTCATTTTCTTGAGGGCAGCTTTGATGGCTGGTTAGTGCCAGCACAGGATCTGTGTGGTCTGCGGAGGGTAGGCTTCCGGGAGGGCAGATGGGGAGAACAGCCCTTTCCAGGCCAGGCATTCTGGGTCCACAGCACCTGATGCTGAGATAGCCACTGCCTCCAAACAGTGCTCTTAGGGAGAGATTCTAGTCAGTTTCAAGTCTTCGGTAGGACATCTAGAGAGGCATGAGGAGTTCTGTGGTCTTACTGGGGACGACACCAGCTCAGTGAGCAGAAGCCTGCAGCAGAAAGATGAGCAGGTGCCCTCCACTTCCCAAAAGTCCTGTCACAGTCACCTGCGGTATGGATATAGCCATTATGAGTTCTGGGGACATAGCCACCTGAGGTGGATCATATAACCACCTGAGTCTTAGGGACATCGTAATGTGGAATGCTGTACTCTGGGCACGACATAGCCATTGTCTCCTTGAGCTCTCAACAGCTGTGATTACCTGCACGAGAGAACAATGTTGGGTCCATTTGTGACCCACAGTGGAGGGGAGGGAGGAGCTTGTGAGGAATAACACTGTTACTGGGAGGTCCCACTCTTCCCTGAAGACTTACTACTGGTTATCCTTACCAGAGAACTTGTTAGCAATGCAAATTCCATTTCCTGTTACATTTACTTATTTATTTTGTATGTGGGAGTCATGAAGGCCACAGCATATGCAGAGAGGCGCAGTGTCAACTTGTGGGCGATGGTTCTGTCCCTAATACCATGTAGGCAGGGTGCATTCAGGTCCTAGGTTTGGTAACAAGTGCCTTTACCAGCTCCACAATGTAAATTCTCACACTGCACCTCAGATCTGCTGAATCTGAGACACTGGAGAGGGTTGAGGCAGCACCTATGATCCAATCCAATACGCAGGAAGACCAAGCAGGAAGATGGTGAGTTCAAGGCCAGCCTGGGCTACATACATGATGAGATCCTGCAACAAAAGGAGAGGACACCAGGTGGGAAGGGGAAATGTTGGAGTGTGTGTGTGTGTGTGTGTGTGTGTGTGTGTGTGTGTGTGTGTGTGTGTGTGTGTGTGTGTGTGTGTGTGTGTGAAGAGAGAAGTGGGGGTAGATACGATCAAGATGCATAGTACACATGTATGAACTTGTCAAAGACTAAATAAAAAGATTTTATGAAAAATTTGAAAAAAAAATCAACTCTCTCAAAACAAGCAAAAACAATGAATTGTTTGCCATGCCTGAGTTGATCATCAGGTAAAGATCATCAAAATGGGAGAAGTTCTCTGTGCTTTGTTCTCATTATTCTGCACACATTTTAAAATAATTTATGTCCCTCCTGCTGTTCTACTGATAGTCCCTGGGAAGCCAGTCCACTTCCAGCATCGATCCTGAGTGAAAAAAACAAAAGTAGAATCAATGAACATGCGTTCTGAAGCTGAATGATACCAGCAACCAACCGAGCCCTCTCAGAGATGCTACAGGGGTGGGAGCCGGGGGTGGGGGCAGGGGTGGGAGTGGGGGGCTGATACTTCACAATGGCCTGTGAGGGCTTGTGGGATGCCAGTTCCATCAAAGATGTCACATTCTGTAATGACTTCTTATCTCAAGGCTATCAGCTGTTGAACTTGGGCAGACTCCAGATTCAAGAAGATTTGAGTTCATTTTTTTTTTTTTTGGATCCAGGTGGTGGAGGAAAATCTGCATAATTTATAAGTTTTTTTAATTTTTTTTTTAATTTTTGAAGCCTATTTGGTTGGAAGCCAGAAGGCTACATCTGAAATTCCAGCAGTCCCCAAGTTCTTCCTCTGACAGTGGAATTCGTGGTTGATGCTGTTGAATTATACATGCTGAATCTGATTTCAGCTGCCATTTTCCCATGGCTCATCTGACTGGTCAGTTGACTTGGGTACCAGATGTGCCGTAAACAGAGCAGCCTGCCATTGTTCATAATCTTGGGGCTCAATTACCTGTCTCTCATGGCATTTATAATCCCTACCCTCAGGTGTGATGAAATGTGAAACTTAGCAGAGTCAAAAGGAATTCTCACCATAAACATAAATAAGTGGAAGGGTGGGGGAAGGGATGTAGGAGGCCATCTGGGAGACCAGCTCCCACATTTTACCCCAGGATACTCTTGAGGAGTGAGGGATAAGAGATTTAGATAGAAGGATAGATGGGAGAGAGCACAGAATAGCCTTGGGAGGGCCTGGATCCTTATCCACTGGCCCCTCTGTCTCTGCTAAAGGGCTATTTATAGGAATGCCAAGGGATGGAGCAAAAGACCTTCCCCTAGCACAGCCAAGTGCAGACCCTTTTAAACACCTGGTTACCATGCACGTGGTCAAGCCGTCCTCTAATGCAGCTCTGCTGGGTAAAGCAAGCTCAGATCTCACTAGGAAACCTTTGTGGGCCTCCACAAAGGGGCTGTGCCTGATGCCTGATAGCGACTGTCACATGGACTCTGTCAAATCTCCAGTCTTTCACAGAAGCCAGCACAGGCTTCAACGGGACACATCCGCAAGGACACAGGGACGTCTGTCCCACTACTGCGTGTTTACCCTTGGACAGACGCAACGCTTGTTGTCAGTCATTGTGACCAAGGATGATTGCTTCAAAATCTCTGATGCTAATCTCCTTACTCTTGTCTTATGCATTGGGTTGTTTGCCCATGTGTGTGTGTGTGTGTGAATGCATGTATGCTTGTGTGTAGTCCAGTGTCATTCCTCAGGAGCTGTGCACCTTTAAAACTTTATCACCATCACCATCATCATCATCACCATCACCATCATCACCATCAGTATCATCACCATCACCATCAGTATCATCACCATCACCATCATCACCACCACCATCACCATCATCACCATCACCACCACCACCACCATCATCACCATCACCATCACCATCATCATCACCACCACCATCATCACCATCAGTATCATCACCATCACCATCATCATCATCACCACCATCACCATCATCATCACCATCACCACCACCACCATCATTATCATCATCACCACCACCATTATCATCATCATCACCACCATCATCATCACCATCACCACCACCACCATCATTATCATCATCACCACCACCATCATCATCATCATCACCACCACCATCATCATCATCACCACCACCACCATCTTCATCATCACCACAGATGTGATTTCCTTCTAGCCTGAACCTCACCAAGTAGATTTGGCTGGTTGGCCACTGAGCCCCAGGGATCTATTTGGTTTTGCTTCAGCAGCTCTGGAATTATAATGCTATTTATTTATTCATTCATTCATTCATTCATTCATTCATTCATTCATTCATTTATTATTTATTTAAGCGTGAGTTCTGGGGATTGAACTCGGGTCCTACTGTACACATTACTGACTGAGGTGTCTCTTGCTCCCTCATTTTTGACTTTTGAAGCTTCCCCTTTCCCCGACCTCTGTAAGTGAGCCCATCTATATTTTACCCGTGTCTTACTGTGGCAACACTTGGCTGTCTTAGTCTCAAATGTCAGTTTTCTCTGGAGAACTTCTCTGATTGTTTTGTTATTCATGTTGACAAATTTCATAGACGGTTAAAAAAGAAACAGAAGGAGGAGGCTGGAGAGGTGGCTCAGTGGCTGAGGGTGCCAGCTGCTTTCCTGGAGAACCTGATTTTGGTTCCCAGAACCCAGGTCAGGTGACTCACAACCACCTGTAGCCTAGCACCAGGAGAGCCAATGTCCTTTTTCAGCCTCACAGGTACTTGCACACCTGTGGCATATGTGTGTGCAAATACACACATACACATTAAGTACAAATAAAAACAAACTTTAAAAAAGCGACAGAAAGAAAATCCATTTTAAGTTATTGTACATAGTCTACCTTTAAAGTCCAGGGAAGGTCCAAAGATGAAGTTGGGATGGGTGGGTACAGTCCCAAGTCCTAGGCTCAAGTTAGTGACACCAAGGATCTTTCACAGTCAAACTTTGGGACATGGTTTATGATTCCAGCTTGTGTCAAATGAAGCACTTCTGAAGGCTCTGGGGAAATAAGCTGTTTCCTGCATGGCCTGGGCAAGGCCTCCCGACAGGTGGACTCCGTGGTCACAGTCATGTGGAACCCGTGTTCGACATCAGGACAGGAAAAGGAGCCATGGACGGGTTCCCCTACAGGGCCCGTGCTATTGTTTGATTGCTGTCCTTATTGTCCTGTGCCTCTTTCATTTCAGGTGGTAGCTATCGACGTAGACATGGCGTTTTTTGAGCCTAAGATGAGGGAAATCCTTGAACAAAACTGCACAGGAGACGAAGACTGCAATTTCTTTGACTGTTTTTCCAAGTGTGATTTGAGGGTGAACAAGTGTGGATCCCAGCGCGTGAACAGCAACCTACAGGTGAACAGCCCTGAGAGCCGGGGAGGTGACGTTTGTGTCTGCGTGTCTCTGGGTTCATTGTGTTCCCCCAGGGCAGGATGGGAGAGCTCTTCACCACTCCTTGTTTCTTACTGTCTGGGTGGTGGTTGCCGGAGTGGCCAGTGGGGTCTGGTGGGTGGAGGTCCCAGCACAGCCCCCTGAGGGCTGCTCCCTCTCTCCTCTCTGCAGCTCCTCCTGAGGATGCTTCTGAGAGATCATTTGGAGGTTCTAGCTGGGCGATGCAGCTACTTGTAAGCCGTTAGTCAAAGAACGATCTTCCTTCTCTCTGGGACGGTTGACCAGCGTACAGTGGCAAGCAGGATGCCTGTGGAGTGCCGGAACAGGAAGGGGACACTCGCCTAGCCAGCCAGCAGCCACATCAGCCTTGGTGATCCCCAAGGAGGAATGTGCTCAGCCTGATGGCCCTCCCACAGAAGGAGATCTGTTCTTTCTGCCAGTGTCTGTAAATTCTCACACAGAGAGAAAGAATGGGAGCCAGAGCTGAGGCCAGGGAGGCCAAGACCCACGATGCAAGGCAGTCCTGAGGAAGGGGGCCAAAGGGGAGGCTGGACAGACATCATCACAGACAGGCAGGACAGGTGGCAGGGGCTATCACAGGGAGACTGAAGATGTGGGTCCAGGAGGTCAGAGATGAGGAGACGAGTAGGGATTGCCTCTGGCTTTGTCAGTCACAGTGCGTCTGCAGGTAGGGAGACTGCAGTCCAGGGCTGAATTTCTCTCCCATCAATTGGAAACCGTCCCTTCTCTTTGGAGGAACCATCCCCTTCTACCCTGATCTGATGCCTTCAGGTGGGTGGGTGTGAACTTGGGCCCCCAGGTGCTGAGTGTAACCAGAGGATGTCCAAGCTGCTCCCGAGGGTGGGCTACCTCACGGCTGCCTGCCACATTCACTCTCTTTTCTGTGCTCTTACCTTATAAATTCTATTAAGTTTATCATTCAGCCCACTCCCCCAGCCACACCTCCCTCTAGTCCATCCTTCCAAGGTGCTCAGGGTGTGTGTGTGTGTGTGTGTGTGTGTGTGCGCGCGCGCGCACGCGCACGCGCACGCGCACAGGGGGAACTTGATGGGACCCAACCTGAAGCAAAACAGTTTAAGCCGGTTGCTCAGGAAAACACAGTGTGGGGCTTTCGTGCCATGAAGATGAGACCCAGGCAGCAGAGCTATCAATCTGGTGGATCTGCTGAGGTTAGGGAAAAGCCCTGGCTCTACCAACCAGGGGGCTACTCAGACTGCTGCACCAAGGGCCAGAATAACTGGGTGCTTCCACTTTCGGAAGGCTCATCGGGGATGTGGCTTTTTGGGGTGCCATCCCAGCCCCTTCCGTGTGGAGCTACCCCTTGATGGGTCTGTGAGGCCCCTGTCTTTGAACCATGCAGACAATATGGTTTTCACCTGCGTCCCCACACATCTCTGATCACATCCACACATCTTGCGTTAAGAGAAACTACAGACTGGCAGAAACGGTTCTGTGGGTACAGAGACTTGCCAAGCCCAGCTGTGGTGTCTACTGCTGGGACTCACACAGTGGAGGGAACTGACTTCTGCAAGCTGTTCTCTCTCTCTCTCTCTCTCTCTCTCTCTCTCTCTCTCTCTCTCTCTCTCACACACACACACACACACACACACACACACACTACACGTATTAGATAAATAAATTTAAACAAAAAGCGAAGAACTAAGGTTGTATCCTTAGGACACAGAGGGCTCTTACAGATACATTGAGAAGCAAGTGGAACTTTGAACCAAAGAAAACTGGAGGGAGAGGACAGAATCCAAACAGCTGAAGGATTTAGGAAATTATTTTATCTCATTTAAAGACATAATTAAAATTACGATAATTAAAACTCAACAACAATATGCCTTTGCCAGTGGGGAATAGTCACTAAAATGCTATTAATTAATAGTTGAAGCTTCAGGTAGTTAAGTGAGTTGCCTCCACCCTTAGCGGGATACTGCATTGTGGCTCTGGATCACGCACACTCATTCCTGTGTGTAACTATTGTCTTTGAATACAGATCCAGAGGTGAAAATGTGCTTTCTTTGTGATGTAGTATAGAGCACTACACAGAAAGAATCAGGTTATCAGCCAGCATTTATACTACAATATTGTGTTTACTAAATAGTATTTTATTAGAAAGACAGATGCGCTTGGTTGTGTTAGCGTTCAGTCACTGTGATGAAATGCCTGACTCCATCTGCTTATGATGAAGAAAATTTAATTTGGGTCATGATTCCAGAGGTTTCGGTCTACAGTCCGATAGCTCCTTTGCTTTTGGGTCAGTGGTGGGGCACAGCATCCTAGCTGGGTCGTGTGGCAAAGAACAGCTGTTTACCTCAAGGAGGCAGGGAAGCCAAGCAGAAGAGAAAGAGCTCCATCCCAGGATCCTTTGCAAAGCACACACCAGTGACCTCATTCCCTCACACCTCTTCAGATCCCCACCACATCCTAGCAGCACCACAGGCTGGTGCCTAAGCCTTCAGCGTGTGGGCCTTTGAGGCACACTTGAGATGTACTCTGTTTACATGTCTGATGGGTTCTGATTCAGTTTCTGAGGACATTCAGAGGAGCTATGCCCTCTCAGGGGAGCCTGGCGTTGGGGCTTACTTGCTGCTCAGAAGCTCCTGCCTGTGACTCTGCTGGAGAGGACAGAGCTATGGTATATTTTCCCAGAAATTTAGAATTTTGCACAGGAAAAGGGTGATTTCTAGTCAAAAGAGAATTAAAAATATCTTTTTAAAATAACACCTTTGCCAGGAGAGGGACATAAGAATCAAGGGTGTGTTTGTTCGTTTGTTTTGGAGACAAGGTTTCTCTGTGTAACGGTCTTGGCTGTCCTGGACCCTTTGTATAAAGGTGCTGCTTGAATGTGAAGGTGTTTGGTAATGAGGCTGACAGAGGTAAAGGAGAGTTAAGCATGTTCTCTGTGCCGCTCCCAAGCAGTGCTCCCCACCAGGGGTTGGGGACCTTGAAACCTGTAGGCAAATAATGTGTGAAGAGTCTGAAGAGCTCCGTTCCTCACTGGATTTCACAGCCTATTAGCAGCAAAGCCTATGAAATTGTGGCTTTTTTTTTTTCTTCCTTCCCTAAAATAAAGCCGTTCAAAAGCTCCTTACAGGGCCTTGTGCCTGCACAGCTTCTCCCTGGAATGTTCGTTTCCTCCTGGGCCTCCAAGGACTGTAAAGATAAAAGCTCACACTTGCATGCTACTCTTTACTAATGTTCTGTTGACTCTCAGGATTCTGCTGCAGGCAGCTATTGTTTTACCCCGCTGTGAGTGGATCAGTCCATCTAGATGACAGACAGAGCAGGCTGCCCGCTGCCCTGCCATGGGCCATCTCCTTACTTGACAGCTCCTGTCTATGTATGACTCTGCTGTGATTTCTTTTCGGAAATGTGGTCAGTCCTTTCAGACCTGCAGAGGGGCCGACTCCTCACACTGAGAGGGCTGCCTGAGACTCAGCTCTGCTGTGGGATGTTCTGTATGCCAAATGTGCTGCTCTGATTGGTTAATAAATAAAATACTGATTGGCCAGTAACCTGGCAGGAAGTATAGGTGGGACAAGGAGAGAGGAGAATTCTGGGAAGTGGAAGGCTGAGGTGGAGAGACACTGCCAGCTGCCGCCATGAGAAGATGTTAAGGTACCAGTAAGCCACAAGCCACATGGCAACATATAGACTAATAGAAATGGGTTAATTTAAGATATAAGAACAGCTAGCAAGAAGCCTGAGCCATTAGGCCAAACAGTTTAAGTAATATAAGTCTCTGTGTTTCGTCGGTTGGGTCTGAGCGGCTGTGGGACTGGCGGGTGAGAGAGATTTGTCCTGACTGTGGGCCAGGCAGGACCAGGAAAACTCTAGCTATACGGCTCTGCTTTGTCTTTGGAAATACGTTTAATTCTTTTAGAATGACTCGCTTCCCCGAATCAACCTCTCACTTTCCCCCCTCAGGTCATCTGCGATAAAATATTTCGACACTGGTTCTCCTCAACTCACAGGAGTCCTGCCGCCTCCCCCCAGCTTCGGCTGCAGCTGCAGCAGGCTGTTCAGGAGTGTGCTCACCACGGGGGCCCCTCTGGGAACTCCTGGACTGCCTCCTCCAGTGTGTTCTGGAAGCTTCGTTGGCTCCTGCAGGCCACTCTGAGAGAGCTGCAGGGGGTGGAGAAGTAGCGGCTTTCTTGCCTTCATCATCAAGAGTGGACAGAGGACGTGACCTTCAAGTGATTTCTCCTGTTGTTGCTATGCAGATGCGCTGTCTGCGCCATTGACCACGGTCTTCCGGAGTGTGAGATGGACTTCCCCTTCTGGGGCTGCGATGTGGACCATGGTTGCTCCTGCCCAGCTTGGTGGTTCGATTTGGGTTGGTGCTGACTTCTGTCTTGCCACTCAAAAGCGAACAGAGGGAGGAGATTCGGAGTATCTGACTTGTGGAGTCTCTGGTGTGCAAACCTCTGTGTACCTGGCCATTAGAGACAAAAGACAGCTGCTCCCTGTAGCCACTAGCAAGCGAAAGTGTGAGCGTCCAGATGAGCGTGTCTGCAAATAGGTGTGTGCATATGTGTGCACCCATGAGTGTGTGGACGTGTTTGTATATATGAATGTGTACTGTGCATATATGAGTATGTCTGTGTGTGTAAATACACATGGGCTTGTGTGCACATGAGTGGATTGCACAATAGTCCCACAGTTATAAGTGTTCCTGCATGTGTGTGTATATGCACATGAATGAGTCAGTCTGCCTGTGAATCTGTGCTCATGGATGAACCAATATTGAGTATACCCAGGCGTGTGTGCATATACAAGGGTGTATACATATGGAGGTGAGTTAAGTGTGGGCATGCGGAGCCTGTGTGGAGGGGTGGCTTTCTAAATGTGCCCTCTAAGAATCTTGCTGGCAGAGAAGCATTACTTTTCTCCTGTAATTAAATGCAATAAAAAGTTGTGTCTTCAGGAGCATGATTTGCACTGGAGAGTATATGGAGTGGCAGCTTTTAGTGCTTTTCATTTTGTAGAATTTTAGGAGCACTTTACCACGCATTACAATCTTCCTTCTAAGCAGGGACCACGTGTCTGCAGAACGCAGTGTGTCTTGCCACCACAGAGACAGTTTAAACAGAGTGCTGGGGTGATCTCTGACCACAAACAACTGGGGAGCAGTGTGTTGGGCCGACGGACTGAAGACCTGGCCACGGGCATCAGGCTATGCTGTGATGCCGTACGCTCTTTGGTGGACTTGATAAAGGTCTTCTGCAATGGCCAACTCACACAAAGCAGGCCAAACTCTGTGTTGCTCTCCAACAGAGAGTACCGGGTGGAACTAGCAAGCCTTGTACTCAGCAGGATCTTGCTTCTGCTCAGAACAGGGACCTCTGTGTCACAGTGAACCCAACCTCTACAAGTCTCAGTAGAAGAGGACTCAAGAAAGATGTCACGTCTTGAGGATTTGGAAGGTGTGCCAGAGGCTTACAAAGAGAAACAGACAAAATTTGAAGTTTTAAACATGTACAAAATGACAGACACCTCAAATTTTCCTCTTCACATAACACCTTTCCAATCCAGAGAACTGTTGTTCTAACTCCTATGGATGCTCTTCTCAGGACTGTGCACCCAGGCTGCATCCTGAGAGGATCCAGGACACCCAGAGATCACACCAGCCTTGATGCTATGACCCTGAAGGCTGTTTGGAGGTGCAAGTTCCCTGCCTTTCCCACCCCCTCATCCCACTCACCAGCAATTTGCCAGACAAAGCTGACTTTCTTAAAGGATGTCCTCCACCCTGTACCTGAAGTCTTGCTTTCAGTTTGTGGGTCACTCTGTGGCGGAAGTGAGTGGAACCCCAAGGTGCTCAGGCTAGTGGGGTCTCACAGGTGGCCTGGCCTGCCGAGCAAGGCTCCCATTTCCCCATAGGATCCAAGGCAGCTGTTCCTCCCCTGGGGCTGGGTGGGTTCCATGGTGTGGAAGAGTCAGAGGGAGGAGGATGGTGTGAGTCAGCCTGGGAGGTTGAAGCTCTGGGATTCCTTTCGGGGCTTAGCTACCTGTGGACTGATGCTCTGCCTCTGCACTGGGAGTGACAGGAATGGCAGGTCTTCCTTCGTGGCCCCAGCCTCCTGGCCAGCAGCTATTCTCATTTAATTCCGAATGGAAATAAATGTTTTTGTTGGCTGTGGAGACTATGCAGTATCTAATCACCCAACACAGTAGCATCACTTTCTGCTTGTTTTTAGCTACCCATTTACACACACACACACACACACACACACACACACACACACACACACACACACACTCTGCTTGAGGATTCCTTTTAAGGCAGTGGTTCTTAAACTGTGGTGAAATTCATTTTTTAAAAAGTGTTTAAACCTTTGAAAATACTGCTTTTATGTAATATAATAAACAAATATGGTGTTTTCAGTATTTAGGTTTTTGTTTTGTTTTGCAGTACTGGGGGCTGTGTACAGAGCCTTGGGCCTGCTAGGGATGCACTATACCACTGAGCTAAGCACCCACCCCATGTTCAATATTTTTAATGTGACAAATGAGACTGGCTGTTGTTAACCCGACTGAGCAACAACCATACTCATGAGGAGAAAATATTTGTTTTAATAACACTCAACAGACAAAACACTGTCTTCAAGAGTTTTATCCTAATTAAAACCAGCTTGTTTTACTCTGAATCTTTTGGTCAGAAATCAATTTTCAGGGTTTATCCTGGCTAGCACTAACATGATCTTTTGACGAAAGGATTCTGGACTCACATGCCTGTTAACTTACGGCTGACTCGTATGAACAGTGTTCCTGTTCTCTTGCATGAACATCACAGGCTGTTTGAGTACCCAGAGCTGGTCACTGAGTGGGTGTCTTGCCCATATCACACAATAGTGAAAATACAAACACTGCTAACACGGCTGGACTCTCAGCTCCTCACAGAAATCGAGGCGTCTCCCCTTAGATGTCCATCAGGCTTGTCTCCAGAGGGCTCTACCCTGTGCTTCCACCCCATTGGCTGGTTCTTCTGGAGGACCCAGAATGCATGACCAGGACGTCACCCTAGGTACTGGAAGGGGCGGCTACTCTAAAACTTGACTGGGAAGCTCTTCCTTGAACATCTGGATGTGCTGGAGTTTGGCTGAAATTTTCTAAAACCAACATAGAAAGAGGCTCAAATTGCTGTCCTGGTGTTTTGAAGTCGGTAAGCAAATGCCGCTCTGGTTCCGACATCCAGGAGGTGCGCGTGAGAAAAGTGCTTTGGAAAGAACGTGTGTCTCCACAGCACACATGTATGCACGCACGCATGCACGCACCTACCTGGCTTCCCTTTCCTGACATTTGAAGATGCATCCTGTGCCAAGGGCAGAGGCTGATGGAGCCGGAAGTCACTTTCATTTGAAAAACGCCTCTCAGGTGGGTGTGGTGGATCGTATTACTTAGGAAGGAGAGGTCGAGAGGCTGCAAATATGAGGGCAGCCTGAGCTACATGATGAGTGGGAAGTCAGCTAGAGCCATACAGTGAGTTCCAGACTAGCTGGGCTACATATTCAAATCACACAAAACCATGAAACCAAAGACCGAAACAGAACAAAAATTCCTCTGGTGACTCTCTGCTAGTGAGGCAGGGGAGTGAAGATGCCTGCACAGCAGCCATGCATCCTTCACAGCAGCCATGCATCCTTCACAGCAGCCATGCGTCCATCTCTTCGGTGGAGTTCCTGTGCCTAGGCTGCACTCATTTCCTTCCAGGCCGTCTGTTTTCCATGAGAATAACTACCTGTGATGGCCATTTTTTTGTTGTATGTGTGACTCCATCTGTAATTAACTAAAACCCCAGTGGCTGGGTACAGCTGTGAGGGATTTTTCTTCATTAAATCATTTGAAGTGGGAAGGCCCGCCTTTAATCCAGGTCCTCCGAGGTGGGAAGATACACAATTAATCCGGACCCCACCTTCTGCTGGCAGCCTCTATATAAGGACATGGAGAAGGAAGCTTCTGCTCTTTGCCTGCTTGCCCTCAATCTCACTGGCAAGCTCATCCCCTCACTGACAATGTGCCCAGTGCACCTTGAGGGTAGATAATCTCTTCTGGGAAGATTCACCCTTCTCACCACAAAGGTTAAAAATGTTGCTTTTCCTCTCATTCTCACCAAGACTATAAATTATTAGTTGATTGTTGTTATCTGCGGGGTAGGAAAGGCCAACTCGGGTCTCTAGTTTTTGCCGAGGGATATTTGATCACACTGTGAACCCCAAGATTGCATTAACTAAATAAAACCAACCTTGCATCAAGAGGCAGAGACAGCAATTAGTTGACAGGAAGTAGCCTTAGAGAGTTAGAGGGAGTCTGGAAAACAGATAGAGAAATGCACAGGTGTGGTGGTATTGTGTTCCCCAAAATATTGTGTACCTTAATAAACTTATCTGGGGTCAGAGAACAGAAAAGCCACTAGTTAGGCAGTGATAGCACACGCCTTTAATCCTAGCATTCCAGAGGCAGAAATCCATCTGGGATCTTTGTGAGTTCAAGGCCACATTGGAAACAGCCAGGCATGGTGACTCATGCCTTTAATCCCAGAAAGCCAGCCTTTAATCCTAGGGAGTGATGGTAGAAAGCAGAAAGGTATATAAGGCATGAGGACCAGAAACTAGAAACATTTGGCTGGTTAAGCTTCAGGCTTTCGAGCAGCAGTTCAGCTGAGAGCCATTGGGATGAGGACACAGAAGCCTCCAGTCTGAGGAAACAAGACCAGCTGAGAAGTTGGCCAGGTGAGGTTAGCTGTGGCTTGTTCTCTGATCTTCCAGTTCACCCCAATACCTGGTTCCGGGTTTGATTTTATCAATAAGAACTTTTAAGATTCCTGCTACACACAGGAAGTAGGAGGGAGGGCCTTTGAGTTTGGCGGTCTTTTTTGGTTTGGGACGCAGAAGAGAAGCTATCTTTCTGAGATGCTGGCAAAGGAGGAAGGTCATCTGGTTGCTCCTCTGCCTCTCTGAGATGGCAGGTCTTCACCCCAGCATCTGACTTCTGAGTCTTTATTGCTAAAATTGTAAGACTGAGATTTAGTTTAAACACAACACGTTTTCTTTCCTATAGCACAGGTGAGGCCAAGTCCTCATAGTAGCTCTGTGTCAGTTCTTTGGTTACTGTGCTGTGCATATACTTTGCCTAGTGTTCATGGAGTTGCCTCTCCCTTTCTCTCTCTCTCTCTCTCTCTCTCTCTCTCTCTCTCTCTCTCTCTCTCTCTCTGTGTGTGTGTGTGTGTATGTGTGTGTGATCTCATCCACATGTATGTGGAGGCCAGAGAGGTTGACATTCAGTATCATTGCTTCCTTTTTTTCTTTTCAGAGAGGTAAAGATTTATTGATTTCTATGACATACACCTGACTTCTCAGACCAAAAAAAGGATTTGGTTTTTCCCATCTCAATTGCTTTTTCACATTGCTTTTCGAGGCAGGGTCTCTCACCGAATCTTGAACTCACTGAGCCAAGCCGTCTGACCAGTGGGCATCAGGGTTGCTTCTCCCTTTTCCACTGCCCCAGTGCAGAAGCTGCAAGCGTGCATGGCATGCCTGGCCTTTACTGGGGTGCTAGCAACAGAACCCAGGTCCTTAGGTACACAGAGCAATTAGTTTATCAGCTGATCCCTCTTCCCAGTCCTCATGAGACTGCCCTTACACAAGGATAATTAGTGTAGCATGTATTCTGCACTGTTTCCTTGTATTTCTGCCTTCTGAGAAACTGCTGATCACCTGTTGTCAATGGAGATGAATGAAGTGGCTCCTCTTTGCTAGAAAACAGGTACATTTTATTTCCACTGTTTAGTGAATGTTGACCTTCAGGTTACAGCCCTGCCTGCCCATTTTCCCAACGGAAGATGATGGTGTGTTAGTCAGCTTCCTGTCCTTGTGACAAGAGATTGGAAAGGAAGGAAAGGCTTGTGGTGGCTTTTCGTCTTGGAGGTTTGGTTCAGCCATGCTTGTTAGGCCTGGTTGCTTGTGACAGGTCAGCACAGCATGGCGGGAGCACAGGGCAGAGGGAAGATGTTTGAGGGACAGGAAGCTAGAGGGAAGGAGGAGAGGTTTTCCACATAGCTTTCGAGGGCATGCACTCAGTGACCTTTTCCATTAACTGGTTCTACCTGCTGGCATTTCCACCTCCTCCCAGTACCACCATCAAGAGAACCAAGCCGGAGGATGCTGGCTTTTGTTTAACGGTCAGAATTTGGGGAAATGGAGTTTCCTTTTGGACCTGACACTACCAAGCCTGCCCACCAGCCTCTGATCTCCCTGGAACTCACAGCTTCTCATTCTCCTTGTAACCCTGCTGTTTCCTCTGTGGCTCCCTTTGTCCTCTTAGTCTTCTCTCTGCCTCCATCTCTCACCCCTCTCCCTCCCACCTCTACTCTGCTTCTCTCCTGGCCAGGTCCAGTGGCCATATGCAGTCTACTACTCTGTCTTCCCTCTGGACTCTTTCAGGTCCAGAGGGACCTGAAACCCTTAACCATGCCTTGGAACATCCTGTAGACAGTTTATACAGATAGCGAGTGCTTTTACCAGGTAAGCCATCTTCCCAGCTCTTCTGTAGTATTTCTGATGAACCTCGGCTTCAGCAGTTTGTTAACAACACTCCCCCTGAAAATGTAAAAGGGGCTGGACCAAGATCAGTGTCAATGAAAATAATAAATTTGCCTGCCGGGTGCACACCTTTAATCCCAGCACTCGGGAGGCAGAACCAGGACGATCTATGTGAGTTTGGGGCCAGCCTGGTCTATAGAGCGAGATCCGGGGAAGGTGCAAAGCTACACAGAGAAACCCTGTCTTGAAAAACAAACAAGCAAACAAACAAACAAAAAAAAAAAAAAGAAAAGAAAAAAAGAAAAAGAAAATAATAAATTTATGTTAAAAAACAATGAGATTATTTCTGCATGTTTTTGGTAACTGGATTGCTTGGTTCTTGAATGGACCGTTCAGGTGACAATGTTGTGTCACAGTGTCAAAAGGCTGGGCCCTGTTGTAGGGTTCTGTGGTCTAGGGCACACAGGATTCTATCACATCCAGAAGCCATCATGCATCCTCATAGCACTGCAGCGTCCTTTCGGGAGCTCCAGGGTTCCTTCGGGAAGCCCGGGCCTTGTTCTTGCTGTGTCTCTTCCCTTGCATTGCTGAGGATGCCCAGTGTTTCCCTCTGACCCTCAGGCAGTGCTGGTGGAATTCCTGTGCTTGCTCCTGCTTCTGTCTCTGAGGCAGCCATCGGCTGGAACTCTGTTCCAGTCAGCACAGAAGACCTGAAGGTTTTACTAGAGCAGGGCCACAGTTTCCCCTCTATAAAAGCACATTTTCCAGGTGTTGAGCTCATCTTTGGGAGAACATATAGGAATACGGAGTGTGTGCACTTGCAGGCTAGCCTCAGACTCCCAGACCTTC